GTCGGTCTGTTGATTTTTGGCTGATGTCAATCTGGCGTCTCATTATATTCATTATAATTATATTCTAAGATCAGATCATCTGTAATTGAGATGTAATATTCTCTAGAGATTGTGGTAGAGATTGATGGATATGTACTAGACCTGAATCAGCATGGGCATCATCTCGTGACAGATCACGCAATCAAGACCTAAGCAGATGGCGGAAGCCGTGATTATATAAAAGGGCTGAGAACCTTAGTAAGGCCCCCAGTAACTGATAAGTACGCTGCAATGTAACTCGCGTTAGAGTTACTCCGACCTAACGGTCGACTTCTTAACCTCATGCCACTAATATAACTCTCACGTATAACCACCCCGTATCAAGATAAGTTGTCTAGACATATGGTGTCTTACTTATCCCGCACGCACTTTGTCAACGAATCCCTGTCCTCAGGTTCAGGTAGAGCTATATTGGAGTCAGTTGGTGCTTAATGGTGCCGTCTGACATTATATTTCTAGAAGTTTTTGAACTGGTAAATGGGCTCGTCTCCAAAATATTTTCATCAAAAATATGGAGAATTTAATTGCTATTCTGTTTCTTTTGAACTATTATACTACAAATGGTTTCAAATCAAAATTACTTTTGTACATGAACGATTGTATCACTTCAAAACTTTCAAAAATAATGAAATACAGACTATAATATCCACCTGATTGGCCGAAAAGCCAATCACTCGTCTTTATAAAGATATCCAGTTGATTAAAAATAAGTTGCTCAACAATGAAGAATTAACTATAATGGTTAAAACCAAAAGCGTGTGCGTCAATAGTTTACGGGAATAGAAATTGCTCAATCATCTTGAAAGCTAGATAAATCCTTGGATTTATGTGAGTGCAGTACAAGGACGGTTACCGCAGCATGGTTTATGACTCCAAATCCATGTATCTCATGGTATCGTTCACTAGAATTGTACACCCGGTCGTTTATTGTTCCTTCAAAGCACACGCATGCCTCACGCACTTGTATTATTCTGGCTGCAGAAGCCACTAATCGTGAGGTCGTGCTAGTGAATTTCAAAGAAAGATAGTATCTTTTTACAGCGGCGGTACAAAGCTTGTCAATAGAAAGACCTGGGTGCACATTAGTTACTTTGTGTGTACATAGAAGTTGGAAACCTGCAAGGATTTGTGAGACGAAAGTTATGGAGAAGACCGTGCATGATTTTAAAAATTTGTTTGGGCAAACCGTTTCTAATTTTTCTTTCGCTTTTACTGCTTCTCCGCCAGTAAAAAGTTTTCGTGCCTGGAAGGAATGTAAATAATAAAATGAACAAAAAATATATTGTCCATAAGTCGTTCAAAACTATTGACATCTGCACGCAGTGCGAGCAAAGTCATTTCTTCGTAAGCTCTGCAGCAAACAAAAATAACAGAGTACAGTACGCAGTACGAGTGCACTTGTGCAGCGCTTAGCACTTCCACTGTACCTGCAAGACACATGTGCATGAAGTGCGCGGCTGACAAAAACACCAGCGAGCTTCACGTCCACATATGCGCATCATAGCCGTATTATCAGCGGCTGACTGTAGGCCGCGCAGTGGCCACTGATATTGCTGTTAACATTTAGTATAGAGGAGTTGGTGGCAGTGACACCGTAGCTAACACGGCCTGCCTGGCATAACGAGCCGCTAGCCTATTGTTCCGTAGGCCCCTAAGCCTTCTTCCTCGCTTGCTGCTCATCAGTCGACGATTTTTTCTTCCCCGGCGAGGCGGTGAAAGTGCCGCATGATTATTTTGTCACTGCTCCTGCCGATAAAGAATCGCCTGCCTTGATGCCTTATAGGTGCTAATTGTGAACGATTAGAGCGCGCGCGCAGCGATTCTATCGAGGGAGAGAGTTTTGCTCAAAGATGATTGCTCGAAATGCTATAAAATTGGTGGTCGTGCGCGCAATAATCCAACAGTGTTACTATTTGCTTGCTTAATGTAATCTAGAGCTGCTTGCATAAAAAATAAATTCGAATATGAAAAGAATTTCTGATTTGAATCGAGCTCCGACCTCTGCTCGAGTGAAATATTTGGGCGTCATTTAATGAAAACGACACGTGGGGATGAAGCTTTAATTTTGGTTGGCAATAAAATAGCTAAATCGATGACAGAGTTCAAATTTAAAGATGAGCAGAAGCTAGGCCGAAAAACTTGCCATGAAAGAAAATAAAAACGAGACATATTCCGTAGAAGGAATATCGTTCTGAACGAAAATTCTAGAACTAATTTAATGTGCGGAACGAATAATTAGTGCGTGGAAGTCGATGCATGAACATGATTTTGAATTTCATGATTCGATTAGATGTGCTTTTGGCATTTGAAGCTAACGAAGCTACATAACTTGAAAATATCAGCTGCAGTGTAACAATAAATAACTGATAATGCAATTTGTATGGAGTGATGAATGCCAGAAACTTTTAATGGCTCATTTTCAGAGGATGGTAATACGTCAGTTGTGAATAACGGGCGAAGTAATTATACGAATTGCTCACACCTGATAATATGTTTTGTAAATACCAGGTGACGTTAATGCATAAATTACGTTCATACAGAGGAGGTAATGTTTATTTTGTACAGGGTGAACCAGAATTAAGTAACCCTTTTAATTTGTTAATAAATAAAAAACTAAGAACATTATGAAGTTGAAACTTGTTTTATTTAAAAGAAGAACATTTTTATGGTAATATTGCATCATAGTTACGTCATTATCCTGTATAACTTGCTAAATTTGTGTTTAATTATCAAGCCTTAAATTTTCATAATGATTCGCTACAGCAAAGAAGAAAGAACGAAAATTCTGCAAACCTACATCAGGACGATGTCAATAACAGAAGTTCAACGTGATGATAGGATCCATTTCAAAACAAGAATCAGTGCTTCAAAAAATAAAACAATTAAATCTCTTTATCGAAAATTTGCGGATAGCGGGAAATTATTGATGAAGGTTATGAAAGCAACGAAGAGAAGAGCCCGATTTTTTCAAAACAATTGTGGTGGGCATTTAAAATATATTATATTTAAAAACTAGGATACAATATTACCATAAAAATGTTCTTCTTTTAAATAAAACAAGTTTCAACTTCATAACGTTCTTAGTTTTTTATTTATTAACAAATTAAAAGGGTTACTTAATTCTGGTTCACCCTGTATATTCCTGTTGTAGATGATACCATTAATTGCTTTCATCTGTTGGAAAAAAATATTTTTTTCATACAGGGTTAAGTTAATACATATAGACTGAATGTAGCACGTGGAGATAAAAGGAATAATACTAATACTAGGTAACTCTAAATGTACATTTCACATACAGGGTCAGTTATTGCACATTAATTGGGCACCCGATGTATAGTGAACTTGCAACATGGATTGCACATATTAAGCATCACTTTTTGTATCATATGGTGAGATGGTGAGGCATTTGCAATCCACCCCAACTATCACCTCGACATTATCATCGAAGCATCGAACGTCTAGGTTCTCAATTCAACTAGCATTACAATCATTGAAAAAATTGAAAGCTGTCTACATTATCGAACATAAAAAAACCCGAGCCTGATTGTGATGAGCAGAAATTTTTTTTTGATCTCAGGCGTTGTTGGTTTATTCATGAGAGTCCGATTGCTTTACTAGCCAACATGTTTGATGAATTGAAATTCATTGAGGCAGGTAGGCTACAAATCACCGAGAACAAAATTGATTAAATTGCATGAATATTGAAAGGATATCAAACCTGATGAATCTTGCACAAGACGATCCTGATAATATGAGATGTATGTATACGTGAAAAATTCAAGAAATTGTGCAATAAAATTAAATCAATAATAACTCAATTAATGTTCAAGTGGATAACATAATTTTTGAGATGAGTTCGCAGTTGGTAAAAATGAAAGAAATATAAGAAATATTCTGAAAATCACTGATGAATAATGTACAATTCGAAGAGGCCCACACCCTTCGAACACGTCTCGCTTGCTGATTCCGCGATGGATCATAATCTTGTTCAGAACGACCCCATCTACATATTTACGACAGAACAACACCTGAAATAGATCAACTACGAGTTTCAGTCGCACTCGGTGACTGTGAAAGGTACTTTCATGGTGTGGAATGGCCACTATATAGGCAAGTTAATTTAAACGTCATGCCTACGGCGCTCCACTCGAATATCAAACAAACTAAAACGCGAGCTGCTCTTAGGCATTCAGTCGCCATTAATAAGAAGAGGCTATAAATATGGGATTAGTGTCGAACGTTGCTCTGCCCATGTCTTGAAGTGAACGCCATCCCTCCGACAACGGCTTAATGAATTCCTCCAGGATATAGACCATGCAATGACTTAGTGAAAAGTCCGACTGAAATTCAAGAACTCTTCGAGTAGATTTATTAGCCAATAAATTTGACGAGGCATAAATTAGCAGATTTAATTTCTAGCGCTGCAGCAGCAATTGTTTTTACGGGCACATCTCGGGCGCTTGTCACAGGACAAGACGCAAATCTCGCCCCGGCGCGCGCGGTAAGCCTGAGATTATCGAATATCCCGTGGGTTCGCAGCCGCAATAATTGCATGCCTTTGATGATGAATGACGAGCGCGACCAGTTTAATGTGATGAGATGTTAGATCTGCGGCGGTCATAACGAATACCGCTCTCATTTTTTTTTCAGTATTTCTGTGAACGTCCTTGAACGACCACGTACGACTCATAACGTAAATATCAGTACATCCCAGCACATCCAAAAACGTCTAAAACCGTCAGTACATCATTCAACTCGGTTCCAGAATTAAATTAACGCAATTTCAAGCTCAATTGGAAGAATCCGTTAGAGTTCGCCCGGATGCATGATTTCGGTGCGTACGGCAATTGGTTGTAACTTCAAAGGCTCTCGTTCGGGAGCCGAACAAAGGCCCATTTCGTGGTGAATTATCATGGTGAACATGCAATACAAGCATCAAGGTGGCCATCAGTGCAGACGGCATGGCGGCCATCAGTGCAGGCGGCATGGTGGCCATCAGTGCAGGCGGCATGGCGGCCATCAGTGCAGGCGGCATGGCGGCCATCAGTGCAGGCGGCATGGCGGCCATCAGTGCAGGCGGCATGGCGGCCATCAGTGCAGGTGACATGGCGGCCATCAGTGCAGGCGGCATGGCGGCCATCAGAGCAAGGGGCATAGTGGCTAACAGGCGGCTCATTCGGTTCATTGTTCAAAGAAAAATTTTATACTATTCGAATTTAAATCAATAATGATGTAGCGATTCAATTCATGCACTCATTGGATCCATGCACTCATTGGATATACAATTGAATAAATTGAAACATGACTTAGAAGATGTTTCTCCTTGCCGTTTCTGGACACTATTGAAACTCAATAAACATGTCCCAGGGCTGCAGAAGCATCGTGGCAAGCAGCACAGAGGCACGTCATTAATGCCCATTTTCAGCTTCTTCGGCGGCCAGGATTTACTTTGCCGCTCATAGACGTGGTCTTCCGTGGACTTGAATTGATGATTGTTGCTCAACCATCAACGACAGCCAAGCACGACCTGCTGCCAGGCTCTGTCACTTATTATGCCTTGCAAAGGAACAACATATATTTTAATCTGCGCACATTGTGGGTTTAAGGAAGTTGAACGCATCATCGCTACCATGAATTTCGAGAAGCAGTTCACGCGAAGGACCTCTCAGTGCGTAGAAATAAGGTCCGGTCATTTATATTAATTAAGAAGTGAGAAATGTCGTAACGATTTCTCCGTTGACCGAAGGTCGTCTGATGGATTTTATGTACCTTCCCACGAATTAACGACTGGCTTGTAGGCTTGAAAATTAAGGCTTAAATATCCTCGCTGGAAAGTTAAGGAGGCGGCCTGGCTTAAGCATGCAAACTTTCCGTCCAATGCACATGGTCGTGCAACTGCAATTTCGAATGCAAAACTGACTAGCAAATTGCAATTGAGTTTTTTTCTTGCTGTCGTTACGCTACAATAAATAAATATCAGACTTTAAAAGTACCCCATTAACAGTTACTTTAAATTTTAGAAAAGATTGCCAAATTATTATTATGCGTTTATTTGTAACTTATTATCTAAAGGCATCATTAGTGATAAAATACAGATAGATCAGTGATAAAGTACATGTACTTTGATATTTTTACATGCAATGTTAAGCCTGTTTTCCTTGGCCTACCTATGCAAGTATTTGACGTTGCCAACGTGCGTTTCAGCCACGAACCAAAAAACATTGAATTAACAGCGGAAGATGAATTATGTATGCTTCTACGTAGAAGATTCTACTGAGCCAACAGCTTGTTATTAATCACGCAATTTTCTCGTATCTGAGATACGATCGAATGAGGGCAACGAGTCCGAGGAACCCTGGGGCCATACTCTCAAAACTCGCTAAGTGAACGTAAGTACTTACGCTCTATTTTCTTGTCTAAGATTGGTGGATTTTGCTCTTGAAAGGCCGTCAATGATTGGCTGTTGAACTTACGATCTCTTAACTTTTTTGAAAGTATGGCGCCTGGGCATCAGACGTGCATATTCGCAACAAACGCAACCCCGAACTCTTCCATTTAATTATCCAATGGGGTTCCTGTTAATTTGTTTTATGTTTTAAATAGAACCTGAACCAGTTCTGTTATATTTGGAGTGCAATATTTGCTGCTAGAGTTTATTCCTGTATCGGTAATAACGGGACCTGCCGTAATGATACAATCTTATATATAGGTGCGTTATCTTCTGGAATGAGTTGGAGCTTACCATGGAAAAGATTGAAGAGAGATTTGCACTCTAACGCATCTTACGTTATTATCACGTATATAAATCATCCTGTACGGCTTTTAGAGGATATTCATCAAGCAAGTGTTAATAAGAACATTCCTGGGGTTGCCTGGTTCTCCAGTGAGAACGCGTTGGAGAAATGTTTAAAAATACTGGAAGTATAACAACAATGAACCAAAATATTCTGTGAAGTGCAGGCCTTGAGGTCTCTAATTAAGCTATTAATCATCACATTCAACTTGAATATAATGAATGCGTATCAAAAACCATAAGGCTCATCTTACACTCATAAAGAAGAATAAAAGCATGAACTTGAAGCTCTTTCCTCGCAAATAACGACCCGTTTCTTCGTGCCAGATTCCCGATGTGTCAAATCATTGGCTTCGCTCATCAAGTTTTTCAATTGAATTCCAGGCTCAATTTTGAGGAGCAATCGAGTCAAAGTGACGCACGAACTGCAAATGAAGCTTTATGAGCTCCTTAAGAGGATTACCGTCGCTTTGTAAGCCGCTGCGTAAGTTGGGTGGGGAATCTCAACAACCCTGTAAGAAAAGTAATGCTAAATTGGGGGCCCATTGATTAATTCACTCTCTGGTCATAAAACTCAGTGTTTTTTTAGAACTGGACTTCATTATAACTTCGCTTGAAATTAAAAAGAATTTTTATTTCCTCGCAGAGAATCAAATAGAATTTAAAGAAGCTTGCATCTTTGAACCGAATGTCGTTATTGTGTGTGTGGCACGATCGCTGATTTACATTCGTATCATCCCGTAATGGATCGCTCGAATTTTACGTTCTAGTTTGGCAAGAAGAATTGCACAAGTAGATGAAAGTATTAGCAGATTCTGGAAGAAAAACACATTAAGCAGGTTGCATTAAATCATGCAAAAGTCAGGTGATAATTTACTGCCTTCCGCAAACCACAGTGGCTTGCAGCGAGCGACGGGCTTTGGAATACATCTGTGAATAATTTAGCCTCTGAATTATAGGTTCTCAATCATTTTTCTCAACTTCTAACTGGTTCTTGACAAGCCTCTAGAGGAACAGAATACACTCATTGAAGAGACTCTTGACGCGATTGAAGAGGACATGCATAATACAGACAAGCTTCAAGTTATAGGGAGGATCTCGGTACGCCCACGCAGCCACCAACCTGAGCCTGGAGTCACGGAGTGGAAGGAGCAGCCATCCAGTCTTGCTCCATCAGATACGCTTTATCATGCGGGGAGTTGCTCAGGGAAGTCGTCACCGACGTAGCCATTATCTTGATCGAGCGTACGAGATTACGGTGAGAGACATTGAATTTCGCACGCTCGTATCGTGATCTCTGTAGCAGGCGTAAACGTTTACTTAGAAAAACATTTCATCTGGTCCGATTTGAAGGGTTTATGAGGACGAAGTTTATGTCGTAATGCTTAACAAACTCCCTTGATAAGCTACACTCAAGGGAGCGGCATGACCGACATCGCCGGCGAATCTTCTTCATTCTTGCCGTAATTTTGCCCTGATTAGAACAAGGCGTTTCTGCGCTTTATCTGGGCTGAAGTTCCTTGTTTGAGTTGGAAGGATGGAAGATTGAGAGTGAAAGATGCGTTTTAACTGTAACGGTCGAATTTAAATGTGCCTTAATTGTATATTTAGGTTCATTTAAGAGACACGTGTTATGTCTTAAATCGAAGCAGGGCAAAGTCTTTAACCCTTGTCGGATTGCATTGTCACCAATTATGAATTTGGTACGATTATAACCTTGTAAAATTGTGTAGTCTGACATGGGGTTATTTTGATGATTACTGGAAATATTTTAATATAATATTTAATATTATTTTTCCCGAAAAAACAGTTTGGAGTGCATGCATTTATATCGATACTTGTATCGATTGCTCACGCTTCACTAGACTCGATAGGTTTGAATTGCTTTCTAAATTGAAATAAATAATTGCTTCAAGCTTAATTGATTCACATTGAAGCAATAACTTTTCAAAGCAGTATTTTTGCAGAAATCACCCATGCCTTGAAAATTGCCTTTATACGAGCTCCTGTTTGCGTAATCTGGCTGCGGGATCTGACAGTCTCCGAGTACTGAGTTAAATGATAACATTGCAGTGTAACCTCACACAGCTTCAATGGGGCAAGTTTGGATTCTCTCTCAAGTTCCTATATTAGGGAAAAAAGATGACAATCTATAAATTCCTTGAGGCTGCACAACTAATTTTTTAGTCTCACGAAAAATAGTACAGGCAGCAAGTAGCACAGTCACAAGCACTGGTCACTAGCTGGTGAGGCTACCTGAAACACGGGCGTGGTATCGAAGGCCAATGAATAGCAAACGATCGGCCATTTAGGTAATGTTGACTTTTAGCAGGGAATTTACAAGCAATTTATGCAGCAACGCGTTGTATGCTACAGAATTTTACTTGCCATGCAGGAGAAGCCGCGCGATCATCTTCTAGAATTGTAGTCGATTTAGACAAGGAAAAAACGTAATAGGATCAAGCATGTATTATTTTCGATCTTATATGAGGAAAGTTACTAATTTCACCTTTGGTTCAGAAATGGTAGATTTTTTGTTTAATTTAACTTATGATTTTCAACTTAAAATTCATTGTAGACCACAAAATAAAATTTAGAGAGTGTTTGTAGCAACTGCGCCACAGCGCGAAAAAAACATGATTCGCTCATAGCAGATTCATGCACGGCTGAGTTGCGCACAGCAGACTCGGCAACAACAGACTCATGCATGACTGAGTTGTGCACAGCAGACTCGGCAACAACAGACTCTTATTATATTATATTATACTATCTTCAGTTATTTATCACAAGACGAGCCGAATATTTCCTGCGCACAGTTCACAATATTTGCCACTTAAGAAGAGATAATGCGGTGCCATAGCTACCTACACCTTGGCTACCTACAAGCCCTTCGTAATTTGCTATAAGATGAAACCAATGCCCGCTTATCAAGATCGAGCGCGAATATAAACAGCATCATGGATTTTAAAGTAACAATTTCGGCAAGGCGTCTTTGCTTAATGGATTCCAAGAATAATTCGCAGCTTTCATGTTCTGGAAGCACGTAGCCGGGAGTGTATACTCAGGTCTGTTGCTCGCCCCGGTGCTTGACGGCGCGTCTCGGTATTCTAATTTTTTCTTGGTCCAGATTTCAGTCTCTGGAGTCTCTCGGCTGCAGTGTTCACTCTTTCAGGGCCTGGAGCTATATTGGGTAGAAGCTTTAGTTTCTATTTTCTAGAAGTTTCATTCCCTGTTTTGTCGAAGCTTTAAGGCGTCTGTGATCATGATCTGAGATCCTGCCCTGATTTTTGGAATATTGAGTACCTGT